CTTTGCGTTTCATAGACCAGATTTGTCACGAAGAGGAGCACGGTCACAAAGATGAACACCTTGAGCATGCGGCGCAGTGAGCTTCCCTCGTCCCATCGGCTGGTTTTCTTTCTCCAAAATTCCTCGTTCTGGTGCTTATTTGACGTGTTGAGCCCATCGATACAAGTCTCCTCATCGTCTCGTTGGAGCAAGTGATGTCGATCGTAATCAGTTCCTCTCCCTGCTGTGGCCCCATCGGCCTCTAGTGGGGACATGGTTTGAAGAGGAGGTTCGGTGCCTGGCTGAAAAAGTGGCGGAAGGCCATGCGTAAATGTTAAATGACAGGAAGTGTCTATCCGTTAGGCAGTTCTCTCCTTGTATTTTGTCCGACACTTCCATGCTTTGCTCGTCTTGTGGGATGTTTCAGGCCCTTCACCATGTTCACGAGTGCATGAGTTACAATTCAAATGTGCCGAACTTGCTTGTGCTCGCTGGGCACCTGCCCCTCGTGCAACCTCCGCCACGTTATTCAAAATTTCAAATTTGCCCCGAGGTCCAGGCGCTTGAAGGTGCTCTCTTTCTAGGTTAACAGGCCGTGCACGTTTTGATATGTCCATACTATTTTTGAAACTTCATGATGTACAGTCTACCATTCTCTAAGGACACTGAAGCTGGTGCAAAGTTGCGTCTTTGCATTATCCCGTCGAGTTTTCACGCTCGAATTGCTTTTCATTCAACAACCACCAAAAGTGTCTAATTTTGCATTATCACTGTCGCCTGTATGGCAAAAGGAGGAGAGAAGGTCGACAAGTAGAGGACGTTGAGTAAGCATTTTAAGTAAAAAAACACAAGGTCGACGCCCGAGAGGTTCCTCGTCATCCTCATTTTCGATTTTACAAATTTTAGTTATCATTAAAACCCAAACTTTTGACTTCTACAATAGTAATTATCACAAGAGAGGTAGCTTTCAAACGCTGGAAAACTAAGATCAATTTTGGTCGTCGTATAAATTCATGAAGAAAAATGGAGAAATTAGAGCAATTTCGAAATAATGGTAGCTTGGCACAGAGGGTACGTACAGCTTACACTACGCGTATAAACCTTTATATCTTTCCACGTGCTATTTCTGTTCAGAGGTTCAACAAGACTTTATTCGTCCTACAATCGTATAGAAGTGTTTTGTATTGTTTACTTTTGTGAATTCACATTCCAAAGGGTTGATAGCTGAACTGTCAATAATAGATGGAATGTCTCGCTTTGCGCAGAAGGCAATACAAGAAAGTCCTGTACCCTGAAATGACGATTTGAACAGTGCTTATGTGAGAGTGAGTCCCTCGTCCCTATAAACGCACCTAAAACCAGATGACTGCCGATAAGCTTATATATTTTCCATCTGCATTTGTGGGGGTAATAGTGATTGTGTGGTTTCCTGGCTCCAATTGATGTTTTGTGGCCCAGCAGGGTGCTCGAATTGTGTGAGTCAAGTAAAAACTGTCTTCCAATTCGAAAGGTGAGTCTTTACCATCGACGAGAACGCTGGAATTGCGGCCTATAGGAGCTTGATTCTGTCCGCTTCCCGGCGGCTGGCAAAATAGCATGTGGTGCTTTTTATGCGTTTTCACTCCCAGCACTAAAGGCCCTGCATACTTGTTGCCCTGAAGCACGTATTTCATATCTAAGTATTGAGCACCACGGTTTCGGGCATTTACGACAGCATTCTGATCATAGGTAATAAGTTGTGTGTGCCACACACTGTTGTTTTGAGACTCTATCGTTGGCTTTGCCGTCTTCGGCTCCGGCGGGGAGACGACGAGTTCTAAGAGTGACCCTTGAGCGATCGGCTCAAAGGTCATGGCGCATGAAGCTGGAGACCCGCAAAAGAAGTCATCACAATACAACGGGGGTGGAAGCTTGAATTCGTTCACAGTCGGGTCTTGCTCAAGTGGAGTCGTCGTTTCCAAAAGCGTTTCCAATTTAAGCATGGTATTCTCTCCATTTAATGCTGCCAGCACTGATATGATGGCTTCGTCCAGTAATCTCAGATAGTGGTGTGCCAATATCTGAGCCCGAAGCAAGTGTCCACCCGGACCTGGATGCCATTTCGCAGGTTTTGGCGTCGATTTTCCAACCTGGACCAAAGCATGAAAGTTGAATTTGTCAAGGTGATCCAGCTTCCAGACAGCCTCATGCATTGCTTGCGAATGCACGCCAAAAGCATCATAATACTCGAACAAATCACCTTTATCTCCTCCATAGCCATAAAGAGGCGGAGACCCTGTACGAGGCTCTAAAATGTCTTCATCCGAAGCAGGCTTACGAGAACCCCCTCCACCGTTAAGCATGAGGAGAGCGGGACGTTTCGGCAAGTACAAAGCATTTCGCATCCACTCCTCCACGTAAGCGTTCTTGAGAGGCCCACTGACACTCATCTCGAACTCCCAAGCCGCCACATCCGTGTCTTCTCCTAATTGGCTCCTCACACAGAATGCCGCGGGAATGGCAGGGTTGAACCCCATGGCATGATTCCGAA